CGCCGAGGTGGTTTTTAGACTCTAGACTCTAGACCATCCCAGAGAGATGGAGACTGCTGATGATCCCATCTCTTGAGTGGAGATGGAGACTGCTGTCAAACCACTCGGCGATCTCCCTGGCTTTGTTGGAGAGATTGCTGATGATTGCAGTGCTGGTGGTCTTTGACTCCGTCTCCACAGACCTGGGACAAGCTCGACCCGCCGGGGAACCTCTCCTTGTTCCGCCCGGGCCACCCAGTGATGCTGATGTAGAGGGACAAGTGGACCAGTGTGTTTGGACATAGTTGGCCATTCTGATTCACATTCTGTTCCTGTGCATCGCGGCACCCGCTGGGAGTTGACACCTTGTGAGCGGATGAAGCACTAGCCGCTGGAGCGAGTCGGGTATAGGATACTGTATACCCAAACAAGCTGAGGACTGAGAACTTGTGGGCATCTGGCTGTGGTGTCAAAACTCTTTCAAGAATCAGAAATCATGAACAGCAGAAATCGTCTTGAGCAGTTCAACAACCCATGTTTTTGCGACCGAGACACTGGCATTGGCTATGGCCAAGAAATTGTGCAGAATGCAGGGCAGCCTACCAGATGGTGGGGATGATGAGGAGTGGACACGGAGTAGCTTGTAGATTGGAAGCAGAGGCAAAAGTCAAGTTGGGATGTTGTCTACACAAGGAGACATGAGTAGGTCCATCAATCTTGACATCTAAGACCAGGCCTCTTTTTGCAGTGAGCAACAGATCTTCGTGGCCCAGTCAAAATGGGAAACTCTCGCACCATTGGGGTCTTCATTCTTGGGGTATTTGGGTACAATAACTCTTCCAACAACTCTCCTCATGATCTTTATGGGTTCTATTTGATGGCTACCTTTGACAAAGACCTGCAGATTCCATCTACCCCAAACCTGAGTCGCAAAGCTTAGAGCCGCTCCAAGAAAGCTGCTGCGCCTCAGCGTCATGTGAAGACCCAGGACCAGTGAGTTGACCCGTGAAAAGGTGCTTGCTGGATCTGTTTTCCCGAGACATGCCCAAGATGCAGGATGCTGAGTAAAATGAAGTGAACCCTCTCAAAATGCCCGCTTCTTGGTTCGGCACCCCCCAAAAATGCCGCCGAACAGCTCCAAAAGCTTTGCGAGGGCCCCGTGGTTCGATGGGGAGCGAGCGAGAGCTCTCGAGCGAGAGAGGGATGGACCCGTCTGCCCAAACGATCCATGTGGCTGACGAGGCCTGGACCATGCTCTACACCATGCTCGGGTGCGCAGCGCAGCGCTCTCGCTGCGCTGGAATCCAATGTGACTAGTGGGAACCGGTTGTGATGCCCACCAACTCTTGGGCGTGAAGATGGTCTGATCGAATCGTTTTGATGCCCCAAAGAACCATGGGCACAGCTTGCCAGCAGCTTTTCGAAATGGAGCGTGCCAGGTGGCAAGTTCTTCCGGAATTCCAGTCCGGCACTGTCAATCACAACTGTTGAATGGCTATGGTTTGATCCCATTTGCACGAATCCAGGAACAGGAATTTTAGGTAGCGTTTCAAGTCGACACACTAGATCACAAGAATTAATTGAGGTATCAAGTATCTCTCCAACTAGGTTTTTGGTTCCAACCACTGGTGGTTTGCCAGGTTAGTGCCGGGACCGCCCCAAAAAACACGCTTTTGGCGCTGCTTTTGTCGCGGCGCACACGCCAGACCACGAGGTACGTGATCATCCAGGGCTCTGCGTTTGTTGTGGACAAGATGCCGAAGCCGCCAGACCTCAGCGACCACGAGCAGCGCCACATGCTGAAGCACGAGGTAGGGAAGATAGGGAAGTAAAAACGAGTTCTTGTTTTTGCGGAGGGTCCTTAGTTGGTTGGTGGTTTGTAATTGGTTGGTTGGTGCTTCTTCTGAGGTTCCTTTTGGGATGCTGCTTCTTGTTCCAAACCTGTCCGGTGTTGTTATCAGTCCATACTGTATGTTGGGACTCTTGCTTGCACGGCATGATTCAAAGCGCGCCGTGTGGTGCGCTTTGTGGTCCCCCCCAATTCGTGCGCTTCGGGGCACGCTGCGTCTCTTCGCTCTTCTCTTCCAGGCGCGCTATGAGAACGACTTTGCGCTGGCCGGGCTCTTCGTGTGCATCGGCTTCTTCATGTCCCCTGGGCCTAAACCGCTTTCTCCGTCGCGCCCTCCGACTTCAGTCGGGGCGTCCGAGTGGACGCTTTCCTGCCGGACAATTGAACATATGTATCAGTCATTATAAGGTGGCAGGGCCAATTCACACGTTGTGGGAACACCTTCCGGTCTGAGAAAAGATCCCGAAAATGAGGCCTGGTAACCTATTGGAGACATGAAAAGACTATGAAGAATGGACAGGCTGGAATCCTCTTCCTAGGCCTCTGTAGGCCCACCTATGTACTCTTTGACCTGTGTTTGAGGGTGCAAAGCGTTTTTTCCCAGCTGAGCTGGCGTGCTTCGCTGCTTCACATCTCGACCACACGAACCAGGTCCAGAAGCCGCCAGCCCTTCCCATTGGAGTTGCACCAAAAAAGACCATTTTCGGTCCATTTGGTTGGCCGAAGGGGCACGTCTTTATAGTTGGGAGATGACATCGCAGGTCCAAACTGGGACACCCCGCGTTTTTCCCACCTGGCGAATGAACAGAATTGAATACCTGGGAGGTCAACCTACGGTGAAAGGGGGTTCGAGTTTTGCACAGCCATAGAATGCAGCGAGTTTGATTGTCTTGCTTGCTGAAGCTGAAGCAAAAATCACGACACATACCCCTTAGAAACTAGCATGGACACTTGGAAGAGCCGACTGTCGTCTCAATCTTACCTGTGTGGCGTGTTTCTCAATAACTTTTCTTGGCTTCTTGGGGAGTGTTTTTCCATGTTTTTCCATCTACTCCAGAAACAGCAAGAACAAGGACCTCTGTTGGTTGCTTTTGGGTACCGCCCCACGAGGGCGTCGCGGACTGTCTGCAAAAACGTGCCAGCGGAAGGTAGTTGGGACGGTTAATGATGACGTCACTTGTAATGTTAAAACCATAGTAATGAGGGGAGTCATACCAAGTCTTCCAACAAATCCAGATATATCCAGATCAAATTTGATTTAGTATTCGACCAAAAGGGGACCATAATTAGCCACACTGACCACTGGAGAACCATAATTGTAAAACCGACTCGGCAAAAAATATCCACACAGATTCTACTAGTAGTACTAGTACTACTACTACTACTCCTACTCCTACTCCTACTCCTACTCCTACTCCTACTCCTACTCCTACTCCTCCTACTACTACTATATACCACCACCACCACCACCACCACCACCACCACCACCACCGGCACCACTACCACCACTACCACTACCGCTATGGCGAGGGGGTGATTGATACGGTTCTGACATTTACTTGCAAACATACTTGATGCTATGTCATAGAAGGGGTGGGGGTGGGGTGGGGTGGGGTTCTATTGACGTCCCTTGTGCTTGCAAACATACTTTGTGCAATGTGTCACGGGCTGGCAGTACAGAAATCTGGCAACGGGTGAGTCGGTGAAAAACTTGGCAAAAGCGTTGCTCGACTTCCAGAAAAGGTGATGCCAAGAACTTGACATCTGGAAGGAGGTTTGCCGCGCGTTGTTCGAAAACCCTCCGAAGCCTGCATTTCGAGCACATTTCGGCCTCGAAAACGCGCGACGCCCGATTGGGGTCGATCCTGTGTTTTTCTGCCACCGCCCAGGTGGTACCTGTGGAAGATGTGGTCCGGCCAGCGTGTTTGTAGATGGACCGCCGGGCCCGTGCCGTCTTCGGACGTGGCTCCGAAAAAAAGGTTGACGAAGCAGATGAAGCACGGGTGGAGCATGTCTCGCCTTTGAAATTTCGCTGGAGCGCTCCACGTGAAAACTTCTGTTGTTTAGTGTTCCATGTCTATCTTGCTCGTCCACCACAGCGAGCCCGACGAACAGAGTCGAGACCGCCAGGAAGGAGTCGCAGGGCGGCGGCGCGGTGAGTGACTTCATCGCCGAGAGCACCATCCAGGCCATTTCTTTGCGGGCGGTGGCAGTGATGGGAGGGGCTTGGATGCTGGGGCCGCTAGGGTGGGGCTCCACCATCTTAAGTGTTGTTCCGTTTTTGGAACCCAGAGATTGAGGCATCCAAGCATCAGCGCTTAGCGGGTGATCGATTCGTTTTTGCTGACCCAGCCATGTAAACATTGAAAAAAACCGTGGATGAAATTCCCCGGTGGCCTGCTGGACCTGAAGGCTAAAACCGGAAAAATAAACGTGCCAGTGCCGGGTGTGCTTGAAATTGTGAATGCACCACCACACTCTCTAGCTCGGACCCCCTCCCCGTTTCCGAATTCATTACTTGATGTGGTTCCTCTAAGTTGTATATATAGACGAGAAGATTGTTGATTCGTGACGCAACAAAACTTGGGTTTTGTCCCTCTTAGTGTAATTCCCCCTTCCAGAATGGATTTACATCTCCATATGGAGAGTTATATTCATGAGAAGTCTACCTGTTGGTACAGATTCCCTTCCGCCGTGTGCTTTTTCGTTGGCCGACCAGGCCATGAAAGAAGGCCTGCGCTGGGTTGAGGGGTTGGGCGGGACGGGTTCCAACAACGAGTGCCCAGAATTTGTTGGGGTTGGACTCAACTAGCTGTAGCTTTGCCCTGGAAATTCTTTATGCAGATGGCAAGGGTGGTGGTCTCGCAACCAATGTTTTCCCCAACAGTGGTTGACTTCTGGAACGCATGAGGGCCTCGGTCACCCAAAGAAGCCTTTGCTTGAGGAAGCCAAGACTCTAAATCCGCGATTTGGACATTTTTATGTTGAAGACAAATCCATTTGATAGCTCAGTCTGGAAGTCTACTTCTGAAATGTCATGTCCAGTATGTGGAATTTCACGTCCATGTTCGGCTCATGCTCGGGAAAAGACACACATCAGTTTGGGACTGAGCCTCGCGCTAGGCTTCCTTGCTCCGCTCGTTTTTCAGGCACCCTGACGCTGCGCGGTGCCATGGCCTCCTTCCGCGAGAAGCAGTGGTGCAAGAAGGGAGACCTGAACCAGGCAGGTGCCACCGGTTGAGATCATGGGAACTTTTGACTTTCCCAGGGTACTTTCGCCACAGATCAATAGGGATGATGTGAAGACCTTTTGCTCTGGCAGGCAACCTCTTCCTGTACTCGACTCGCCTCCACGCTGCAATCTGCCAGGTCCTCTTGAACAAAGAGTCCATGGATGAAGTCCGGCGCATGTGCAAGGCAAGGAAGGGTAAAAGTTGCTGAGCACAGAGCAGAAGAATTCTTGGTTGACCATTCTACGGATCCTTGAGATGTCCACCGGTTCCCCCTCCCATCTTCGTAGCCGCGCCACCGATCTCTGGCGAACCGGGCAGGTTCTGGCGCCCTTCTTTGCCCACTATGATGCCAATGGACCGGGGTCCCGTTATGGGGAGAGATGGAAAGGCGGAGGGACTTGGTGGATTTCAGCACCCCCGACAGTTGGTGCTTTGCGCTGTGGGCCTGGTCTTGTGGATGGCCTGGTTGGTGGTGGGCCTCGCTCATGGGTTTGCTATGGGCGGCCGACTGCCGCCCCCCCTGGTGTCCGTGTGGCGTGTGTGGGGTCGGCGATCGACCAATTGGATCGACCTGTGATGCTCTTTGAGGGCTGTTTGGTTTCAGCACCCCATGAAGAATCTGGAGACCCCGCTCGTCCCGACTTGGAAGGCTCATCCTTGCCAGCTTCCGCCCCTCCGCGGACCCCGGTGGGACCAATTCACCCAGTGTCGCCGGCGACCGGGTGCGCCGGACACGCGGGGGCCGAGGTGATAATGCCATTGATTTCGAAGAGTTCAGGATGATCTTCAAGGATGGCCTACTAGGGGCCGGCCAGGATGATCTTGAACGGTCGAAGGTCGAGTCTTTTCTGAAGGATCCAACTGGAACAACGGTGACAACACCACCCGCCAAGGCATCCGACTGGGAAAAACTCATCCTGCCACCATCCTGCAACCACCCACCTGCCCTCCAATGATTTCGCGTCTTTTGATGCGTCCCAACTGCGCCAGGACGTTGGTGCTCTGGCTGCAATGGTGGACTTGAGGGCACATGTGATGCGTGGTGGTTGCAGCCGAAAGCGCTTTCTTGAGCTTGCTGGTGATTTCACAAGTTGGTCATTTCGTCGGTTGGCCCGGAGACTAGATGGGAACTTGGCCACTGAAAGGCTCGACTTGTAGCTGCAGAAGTTGGATTGGATTGGCTTTGGGCCTTTTTGTAGGGTCTATTCACAACAACCACCAACCTGTATGCTCTAATGCTCTGCTATAGTTTTTTGTTTTTTTTGGTATTCTGGCAAGATTATGCCATATTCGGTAGGTGCTCACCAGCCCGTTTGTCTCCCAAAGCCCCACCCATCTCTGGAGCGAATCCTCGCCCCTGGCGCAAATCCGGACAGATCGGTGTCTGACCGATCGACGCTTTCGGCCGTTGGTGCTCGGTGTCGGTGAAACCGACTTCCGACATGGTCGGTTTAGGTGAGAACCTCTCCCGAGATGGGCAGTATGCGATCTTCGACGCTGCCGACATGGCGGGGCTGTGGGATGTTGCAGCGATGGGTCAGGGGTGAAAGCAGCTAGTGACTCGGTGGCCTGGTTGGGGTGATTGTGGGACTGCCGAGCTGCCCCGAAAACCGACGTCCTCTGCTTTCGGCTTGTCCGGCAGAACCGAAGCGGCGACATCAGCTTCGAGGCGCGCGGCGTATGTCCTGGCGTTGAGGTGTTTTGGACTCGGGCGGGGCTGGCTCCAAGTGGGTCTGTTAAATCAAGCTGCTCCAAAAGAAAGACAGTGTCGGGGATGAGGCCTGGGAGCAAGAGGTGCTGTCGTACTGCTGTGAAGAATGAAGAGTGGAAGATATTGGCAGGAATATACCCATGAGGTGCAGGGATCTATCCTTCGATCTGCCTGAGTGTATTGGCGTTTCGCTTGATTGTGGCTTCAGATGTAGCTCGATCCAGATGCCAGTATTGGACACTGAAAAACAAAACAAACTTAGTTGCCCTAAGTTGCACAACACTTGGCTCTTTGGCAGATCTACAGATCGTATTTATAGTTTCCATGCGCACTTGCTGATTCATCACAGAGTGTGCACCGGTCGCCATGTCTGTCGAGCCCTCCTCGCTCGACGCCTGGCTGCAGAAGTTGACCAGGACCCGTTTTGCAGAGGAGGAAAACATCTTCCTTGGGAACCATGGTTCTAAGGCCCGCCAGGCCATTGACTCCGGAATCATCCCAACCTCCTCTCGGATGGTTTTTGTAACACTCCTTTAGCAAGGGAGCTATACATGGACTCAGAGAGATGCTGCAACATCTCGCAAGTCGTTCTTAATTGGCCCAGCGGACATCCGACTCTTACAGTTTGGGAGAACTCATGAGGTGGGTCTATCGGTAGGAACTCATGAGATTCCGAAGGAGAGAGATGCCGCCATGGTCCTCAGGTGACTGGTGGATACCATGGTCCTCCTCCGGCAGGGGGCCCAAGCACCACCGTGGAGCGATCCTTGCTGGGATCCATCTTAGGCAGGTTTTTCTGGGTAGGTCCAACCTCGGATCCAGAGGAAGGTCCAGGCCCAGGGTTTTGACCATCGAAACCCGAAGACGGCGATTTGACAACCAGTGCGAATCAAATTAATCTCTCGCTGCTGTAGAGATTAGAGGGACTTCCTGTGTCGCAACAGATAAAACTGAGTGTTGGGACGCCTCATGTGTTGGAGTCCGCTATCAACGAGCCGCACAGCATCCTACGTGTGCTCCTTAAGGAGGTGAGTTCCGCGGTGCCCAAAACATGTTTGAGGGGTTCATTGGGTGTACCACACTGTACCTTTTGTATGCATTTCCTCAAGACTCTAAAAAGAGTCAAGAGGCTGAGTTTCATCAGCAAATGAAGGTTGGCGCCAGAATTTTGGAGAAGACTGGATCCCAATCGCATCGTATGCTGCGCAGAACCTTTTCGCCCCCTCCCGCGGACAATCACGGTTGTGGAAGCCGGACATTTTTGCGGACCTTTCGAAAGGCGCCTAGGTGGCCTTGACGTATTTCTTGACTCGACCATCGACCTGTGTTGGCACCCGTGGAGATGGGACCGATGGTTGCAGGCTGGAGCCAGTCCAGGATCCCTCCAATGGCTCTTAGACGAAGCAGAGGCGAGAGGGATGTAGCGGATGTAGCAAGCATGACTGCGATACTCTTCACATGAAGTAGCTGCTGCACAGAATGGCACCTCCATAAGTGCCAGACTTTAGGAGACTTTAGGTATCACTACAGGAAAAACATGACCATGTGTGGATGCCACCCCCATCCGGCCGAGAATGGCAGGGATTCGCTCAGGTGGGGTGGAACGAGCCGCCTGAAGCACAGCCAGAGGAGGTGAAGAAAGAGGCTCGGTGAGGTTTCTGTTGTTTTGGAAGCGGTTTCTTCGTCGTGGTTCAGGGATGTCCAGGTGCTATGTTGACCTTACCTTGGCACCTCAGCTTGTTTTTTCTAAGAAACTGTCCAACATGCATCGATCCTTCAGTTCCCGAACAGCCAAGCCTGCGGCTGTTCCAGCCGTATACGATAGACTTCGGAGCAGATCGGAGCAGGTCCCGGGAGCGGGTTCGGGGAGCAGGTTCCGAAACGAGTTCCGGAGCGAAGCAAGGCTCTGGAGCAGGTTCCGGTCCCGCGCAAGATTCCAGAGTTCCAGAGCAAGATGTAGAGAAGGCTTGCAGCAAAGAACTTTTCACTGTCAGGGCATAATCCTGACATGTCAGCATTCATGCTGGCAGTTTTTCATGCTGACATCATGTTGTCATGCGGCCAGGCTACGACCCCATATGTCTTTGCACTGTCAGGCTGTCATGTCGATACACTATGATACACCGACATGTTGTCACTCTGCCATGCTAACTTGCTGTCATTCTGACATGCTGTCTTTGTGAGATGCTGAGGTGTTGGCGCGCCTGTGTGTTGACATGGTGCCATGTCGGCGTGTTGTGTATATGCAGTCATGTGGACGCTAACATGTTGTCATGCTGATATGCTGGTGAGGCCGACATGTTGTCAGGCTGTCATGCTGACATGTTGCCATGTTGGCGAGCTGACGCGGGCCACGCTAGCATGCTGACACCTTGCCAGGCTCAGACTGTCGGAGGCCCCCCTCCAAAAGTGATCATTGAAGCCTTGCCAAAAGAAGACGTTTCGTACAAAGTGACCCGTCAAGTCAGGCCATTAAAGCAAGCATTTTGTTCTGAGACTTCTTCCAACATTCAAATCGAGAAGTCTCCACAAGCATTTGGTACGCGACTTCTTCCCCAACAAGAGTCGCACGTCAAGTCTCCAAAATGAGGATTTCTCCTTCAAAAGTGAGGCGGGAAGTTTCATCAGAGCAGGCGCATCACGCAGTCTCTTCAAGCAATTTTGCAATCCAAGCCCCTTCAAAGAGCAGCTGCTGCCACCCCAATCCCACTGGCGCAGCGACATTGGCCTGCACCAAACATCGGCGATGTTACATCGCCACCTCATGATTCCCTGCGCTTGCCACGCGAACTGCAACCCAGTACCTTCAGCACTTGCTCAACAAAAACCATACAATGCTTGGTTATATACGCGTATGATGTTTGTTTAAGTCTTGTTTGGATATCATTTTGAATGTGTCTGTGGTTCCCCAACAGCGATGTTAGGGTTTTCTTCCATAGCGAAGAGCAGCTCCAAAGCCAGTTCCAGAACATTCTGGTGCAAGTCCCGGAGGAGGTTGCGGAGCAGGTTCTGGAGGAGGTTCCAAGGCAAGTGCTGCCACAGCAATATGCTGACATGGTGTCATTATCGTATGCCATTATGCTTGCGTGGTGTCACCTGATGTGTTGTCATGCTGACATTCCGAAGTCAGGTCATGCTGTCGTGCTGGCTTGCTGGCAGTGGGGTCCGGAGCAGGTTCCCTGGTTCTTGCTTGTTGTGTTGTCATTCTTGCATATGCCGACGTATTTCCATGTGGGTATGCTCACATGGCACATTGAAACCGTTCACACACTTTCGAAGACAGCACTGGTTGGTGAATTTGCGATGGTGCCATTGCCTCATGGGCAGATTCACGCAAAACGTTTTTTTTTGGGTTTGTTTGCACTTGCGACGGATTCAACATTGCAACTGAAGCAATTCAACTTTTCCGGGATAACCCGACGGCTTGGGCATTTTTCTGTAGTTGCGGTGGCCGTGACACAGACGGGTTGTTGCGGTGAGTTTCCCATTCACTGGCACAGGATTTAGACCTCCTGGTTCAGAAGTGCATGGATTGGGACTCAGCAGATGTGGACCTGAGCCTGACTCACTTGGGAGGAAATAAGCAGAACGGAAACACTAGCACCATTTCATCCCTTTGTGCTTGTTGTTTTTTTGTTCATATTTGTTTTGGGACCACTGTGACCAACGATGAGGTTAGCTCCTTGGCCTCACCCCACGTGACGCGATGTGAGGTCCAACGCTTGTCGGAACGAGTGCATCTCCGAAGGAGAGTCGTCGGACGCCTCAGCCCCCGGTCGTTGCCGACGTCGTCCATGAGGCTTGCGGGAGGGGCTGCCAGCAACCCCCCACAAGTCTTTTGATCAGCCGGGTCTGTCTATGTCGTCATTATTCGTCAATATTTACTTTTTTGGCGAGGGAATTGATAAGACCGGAGTTATAACCTTTCAAGACTTGTACGGTTCACACACAGGACTTTTGAAACCCAACTGCAGCCTGTAAATGGATGGTCATTAGTATATCATGGTCATAATGGTCATCTCATCAAACATAAGCATGATGCCATTCGCCTTGACTCCGAAAGGGTCGGTCGTTCCAAGGGTCGTCCAAGGGTCGGAGCGACTCCTCCGGCCGCGCGTGGTTCAGCCGCCCGGTCTTCCGCAGCGAAGCGTCGGATCCGTCGGATCGCCGAGGAGGTGATCCACAAGGGCGGCGCTCCGGAAGCGCAGGTGAGTGGAGGGGAGGGGAAAGAAACAGCACTAAGACTGTTGGATGGGAGTTGTGGTTGTTTGTGATTCATGGGGTGTTTGGATGAGCACAAAGGTTGGCCGTCGCAGCAATGAAGCTTCATGTGTCCAAGCGATCAACGGACAGCAATTGCAGTGATTGTGCGTTTGCCAGGAGTCCTGTGCAGCCTTATCCCGAGGCTGTTGGGCCTTGCCACTGGGCTGAGAGAGCGGTTGGAGGGTGGTGCGAGACCAACATTTAAGGGTTTTTGTTTTGTGAGAGACGATCCTGGTGCATCTGGGTAGGGAACTGGATTGGGTATGAAAAATGAGGAACCTGGCACCGGCACCTTGGAAGAGCATGTCATCTCCTTTGTACTGCCATCCCCAAGTGAGGTTGTGTGAATGGTATAAGGAGGATCATTGAAGTCTTTGTGTTCAGTCGCAGTGATTGCCGCGCCTTCCAACTGTGGTGGATGCTTTCAACATTTTTCAACCAGATAGATGTCCTGTGATTGGTGCTCTTTCCTTTCAGATTCCACCCGAGCTCACGACGTGAGACCCAGCGACATGGGACCAACGACACGAGAGGTTCGCGATGGGACCTGCGTCGGCTTCGACGTGCCCGGGCACTTCGGGGCCTTCCTTTCCCTGACCACGTCGGACCCCGTGACCTCGAGGCCTTTGTTCTCCTGCGCCGTGGGGATCCAGTCGGTGTCCCAACCGCCCGGGGACCTGTTGGGTGGGAGTTGCTGGGAGACTGAAAGGAGACCCTCGAGGGGCACGAGCTTGGCTACTCGGCCTCCGCCCGGTGAAGGCCTGCCACTGGGTCTCTGAACTCCGAGGATTCGTGTGTGCCTCTCCGAGAGCATGCAGCAGTGTAGCGCCTTGGCGGTGCTTGTTGGTGTCCTTGCGCAGCTGCGATCTGGAACAGCCAACAGGTCAAGCGTCTGGGACTCTTTTGAGGCCCCCCAAAAGAGCACCTCCGGGCCAACCGGAGGAGGCTTGGTAGAGTCGGAGGGTGGTTTTGGCGTGGCTACTGAAATGCCTGTAGGGCCCCTAGAAACCCTTAACAGCCTTCTTGCAACCTGTATGTGACAAGAAGCCGCTTTTCGGTTTCACATGTAATTAACGACAGAAACACCTTAGTCACCCACAGTAGTACGATGACGAGTGACTCCTCGCAAACGACAGAAACCGACCTCCTCGCAAACGACGAACACGAGGTCGATCAGAGGCCCGACTCTTCGCGGGGATCGACCGATCCCGCGCGGCTTGGTTTTTCTCTCTTGGAGTTTTTGGTGTGATGAAGTAGGGAACACGAGATGTAGGATGGTGACCCTACTTCAAGACATAGGGAAGTGATGACCCTACGTCGTTGACGATGTGACATCGCACGAGATGTTTTGAGCAGCCAAACGTGGCCCATGTCAATTATAAGAAGATGCCGTTTTCTTGAGCACGAGTCGTGAGTGTGAAGTCGTCAGTGCGGGAGCAGGCCTGTTCGTGTGCTAGAAAGGGTAGTGGAGTGGGGATCACTGACTTTGCCGTCTTTGATGTATTATAGTGATCCCCAAAAAGATAGAAAATACAATTTTTAGTGTGGATCTGCTTTTCTATCTATTTGGGGACCGCTATATATAGGTGGTTCTGAAAGCGAGTTGACACTTTTGCGGCGAGGGCGAGGGCAGCTCGAGGTAGCTGACCAAGGCGAGGAGCAAGCGAAGCGAAGCCGGTGGCTGGTGGGTGCTCTGAAAGGGTAAAGACAGCACTCACCTCACTGACTGGTAAGATGACTTGGATTTGGATGGACTCTGCTTGATATTGAGTTTGAAGTAACGCACTGCCTGATCTGTGACAAGAAGTCATTCTCCTGCAAAGGGTGGCCTTGGGAATGGTAGTAGGGAAACGTAGGGAATTTCGATTCAGATGCATTATCTGATCATTTCAAGGGTCGGTTGCTGCTTTTTCCTGGTTGGCAACAGATGGATTTGTTTGCTGGGGAGCAGCCCTGAAGAGTATCCCTCCAACGTACCTCATAGTGGAACATGTTTTCTGTCGACCTTCATGTGAGTATATTCCGGGGTCGAGGTGACCGATGAAGGCAAGCTGTAGTAACTGTAGTAGGGTGCGAATCGTCTCGCTGGTAGATGGTGGCTGCCCATCTGGGCTGCCTGCTCCGACGGCAGCTGCGTGCTGTGGAACCGTATGGGGTCATGGCTCCTGGAAAGCTGCCAGAATGCCACTTCTTTTCCAGAACAGAACAGCTGCCCAACCCTAATACCCAAACTCTAGAAGAGATGGCTATACTACTCAAAGATCCGGGTAACATCTTCCACTCGCCATGGCTGATCCGTCCAGGTCCCTGGCATCTTTCTGCTCTATGCGCTGCCCATCTCCCAGATTGTTCTTGAATCCACCGTGGAAGAAAAGCCTCACCACGTGACGCGCCGCAGATCCTTGTGCCGCAAAAAACCCCAGCCCCAGTCCTTGTGGCCGCCCAGCCGCTGTGTTTTGGACCACACCCATCCAAGATGCCCCCACTGGGTGTTTTGGTACAACCCCTCAGCTCTCACACAGCGGGCACTTCTCTTCGAGGTTGGCGATGGTGCAATGACCACCAGCCGCCGGACGAAAAAGACACGACGTGGAGAGCGCGACGCACGATTCGCAGGGTGGAAGCAGATTCTAGGCCATGTTTGGGTGGAGTCTTTGCGGAATCCAGCGAGGGAGACTTCTCTGGATTTTGTTTGTATTTATTTATTTTTTAAAATTAGTCTATATATCTATATGTTTGAATATACTGTAACATTAGTTTTCATCAATTTGATGGGTTTCGGGCGAAGCTCACCTCATTGGGAATCCCAAGACCTGGGAAGTGGGGAACAGAGCTACCTGCAAGAGTCTCAAGTTCCACTGAGCTTCTCCACCAGCTCCTCTTCCATCAGCTCCTGTCTCCCTTCCGCCTGCCCCGTCCAGCTCCGGAACCCCGTCCAGCTCCCTGCGGAGTGCACCAACGCGATCGCCCCCTTCCAATCCTTCCATGCCCTTTGCTCCTAGTAGCATATTTGCTCCTAGTAGTAAGGCCAGGAGACCCTAGAAGCGTCTTTGCTCCTAGTAGAAATGCCCTTTGCTCTTAGCAGATTCGCTCCTAGTAGCTATGGCCAGGAGTCCCGTTCGTCGCGTCCTTGTTCTGCCATGGGCTGGCGGTCCGCGGAGTTCGCCGTGCGCCAGGAGTTCGTCGCCTGCCTCATGTCCTTCGCCTTGGACCCCAACACCGACCTGCAGGCGTTGGAGGGAAGCCGGACGGGTTGACCGTGAGTCGTGGTGAAGGGTGGAGCAGACACCCAAATTGGTGTTGACTGTGTGTAGTGACCATACCGTTGTTGACCTATGGTGTTGCTCTTTTGTAACTCTTTTCCTGTGGGTTTGGTGTAACAGTGTAGACAAGAGTAATTAGACCATTTCAAGAAGCTGTGAGGTCCCTACTTCCAACTTCCTAGTTGTGCAAATATTTGAGCCATACCCGCAGACCATGTGGGTTGACATGCAGGTTATTTTCTGCCTCCATTGATATTGCCAGTTTCATCGTGGTTAGTGCCGATTCCAGAGACACCTGTCGGCAGACTTCGGGTGCCATCAGGCATCCTTTTCTCCAAGCCAACCCATCCTCGAAAGCTCTTGTAGATCAACATGGGTTTAACTTTCACATTTGTATGTGGGGGCACCCAGCCGGATGGTCTACCTGAAGCTAATCATATTCAAAGCGGCTGCTTGGTCCAGGTCGGTGCTTGTTGTGCTCGCAGATCGGGGGTTCTCAGCCGTCAATGGCTTCAACACACCGAAGGAGGAGGTCCTTCCCTTCAGCCGCCCAAGAGCTGCTGGGGAAAACCATCCCGTCGTCTCGCAAGAACACCTCTCCGTTGCGAAGCGAACGTCTTGGAGGAAGTGAAAAAGCCGAAGTACGCGGTGAACCCCATCAAGTACTTGGAGAATGGTGATGAGGAGCACTACGAGCGGGGCCGAGGTCGTGGTGCGGTGGTTCTGAAATGAGAAGCCAGCGTATTTTAAGGGCTGAGAGGCTGAGAGGATCTGAGTGATTTTGGGACCTTAGAGAGTTGAGATGAGATCTGTTTGGAACAATGCCGGTCCAGCATGTGCTCCGTCAAAAGCCTCCATGCCTCCCACACCGCTCTTGCCGCGTTGGCAAGCTGCGCTGGTTTCGAGGAGGGCGAGGAGGACGAGGAGGAGGACGTCCCGGAGGCACATGGAGTGGATGAGAGTGACGTTGTTCGGCACATGGAGTGGATGAGATGCCGTCATGGTATGTCAATGGTTGGTATTTTGTTGAAACCATGCGGGAAAAAGATGGAAAAAGGGTCCTGCATGAACACATGATGATTTCTGAGAATCATAGAATGGTGAATCCACTGTGATGGACCTCTTCAACATGGAGGTTGGTAAGTCTGAACCTGTCCATGTTGATATTTGCGATCCGACAAATCTACTTGGAACCTGAGAATCAGACTAGATGAGTGATCCTGTGGCTTGATGGGCTTTGCGCCGATGGATTTGGACCGTTCTGAGGATCTGGCCGACTTGGACCCAGAGGAGCAGCAGAAGAGGATCAAGTCAGAAGCCCCAGTCGGAGACCTTGACCTTGTCGGATTCAAGAGGTTTCTGATGTCCTATGATCCCATGATCCACCACCCAACAGAGGTCTTTCTTCTATGATGACTCCCCAAAGCAGCATTTCTGCTTTCATTATAATTGTATTTATTCAGGTGAAGACATGGGGTGTGAGTCAAGACTAGGTGCCTGTCTGACCTTTTATGTCCACATGTTCTGTTTCTTGCTGATGAGTTGGTGCATTGCTGGCATTCACTGTGCTCGAGATTTCGTTTCGGCTGACCAGACTGCCGCCACACCGGCCGGTGCCCGTTGCAGAGGATCCGGGCGGCTTACCAGATGGCCATGGGAACCCTCTTGGCCCGGGGGCCCCAGCCGGCACCGGCCGGAACCCTCACCGTGGGGGGAGGATAAAGGCCCAGGCCCGTGGAGAGCTGGTGGAAGAACGAGAGGTTCTCACACGCCCTGGAGGGAGTCATTCCAATTCTCAAGGTAGGGTGGCTGTTTGCAGCTCAGGTCGAGACGGTCAATGCTTTTTTCTACCTTTGACCCGTCAGGGTCCAGGTCCACTTCGGCCCGAAACTCGGCCGTTGGCCCATCCGAGTTTCGGCCCCTCCGAGGTGCTGATCTTCTCGGATCCCATGGTGGACCTCCTCAGCGAGTTGGGTGTGGAGCTTGGAGAGGGTGGATCTCCGGCCGGTACCGGTACCGGCTGAAGTCAGTATGGCGTTTTCCTATTCGTCCTTGCTGATCCCACACAGAGGTATACATGGATATATATATATAAGTCCTTGAAAGCCTGAGCGGCTTAGTGGCTGGACCAAGTGTGACCTGCAGCATTGCTTGCATACCAGGAAAGCGCCTGGATGTGTCCGCCTTCTACATTTCCTTTGTTCACCTGGCAACTTTCACGGATGGGTGTTGGATGGCTCCGAGGGTTGAGATTTGCCACGGGGGCGCCACCAACCTTGAGCGGGGCTTTTCCTGCTTTGCCAGCTGTAAAATTTGCAAAATCAGCAAAGGTGTCGAACAGGATTCGGAAAGTGAACTGACTCACCGCGTGCGATAGCGGTTTAGACACACACTTCGATTCATAGTTCCGGTGAAGGAACGTAAATTCCAGTGGTTTTCAGAAATGCATTAGACCTTTAGGTGCATAACGGCATGGCGATGGGTCAGCAACAGGTATTGTTTCAACCAGAAAAGCATTCGACCTTTAAGTTAGTGGATTAGACCTTGACTGGAATCGGAGGTCATCGCTCTTAGGTTAGATCCCATCGAAAGCAGGTTGAGGGGCCATCGCTAGTAGGTTGGTGACAAGAAACTGCAAGACAAGAAGCACAAGACAGCCAAGGTTAGAGGCCATGGCTAGGAAAAGGAGGCCATCGCAACCAGATTGAAGGCACAGCTTTTGGGGCCTACCTGAAGACCTAAACACCTCCTGGAACAACATCAGGTACATGAACCACCATAAAACACAGCAGGGGACCACAACAAACAACAGTTTATGGCGCAGGTATAGGTGGATGATCAGTCTACCCTTCCATCGTCATACCGTAGCTTCATTGCGTACGGTAGGTATGACGAGCCGTACGCCCCTGCTGAACATTATAAAATTAGAACTCCTAGAGACGGAGGTTACACAAGCAGCCGCATAGCGTCGCGCCAAAGTGAGGAACCAACGCGTTAGACAGCTTTGGCGTTACGTAGGTTGTACAGGTTACGGACAAATGCAGTAGCACTTTAAAGAGGAAACGCCGCAGTAGACAGCTTTGGTATTACTTAGGTTCTAGAAGCATTACACAAATCATGCAGGCACTTGACGGAAAAACCTGATTACACACCTAAAAAGCCTCTAGAAGAAAGTCAGACCTAGAAAAAGAAACCAAAGGCAGGAGAGAAAGAAACAAAAATCCGAGGGGTAGGGTCGACAAAATGAGCCTCAAGACTCAAGAACAAACTAAGAAGCCTGAAGAAACACCTAACAAACAAAGAAAGAACGCAAGAGAGAAAAGAAGGAGCGGGGAAGGTCATGAAACTGTCACTTGAAACATCGCATATGAAGACATGCAAGGGGTTTTCAGAAATTGAATTTCCGTAAGCTCGGTAGCTTTAAGTTCAGGTGATCCTTGCAATACAGTTGATCAGTCATCGGCTCCGGTGAATAAACGCAGTTTCAGAGAGTGATTGCCCGAATGGCTTCAGCGCCCCTTGTGGGCATCACACTGCACACCCAAATGGGAAGATGCAGCAGGTCACACTTCGATTCATAGATCCGGTGAAGGAACGTAAATTCCAGTGGCTTTCAGAAATGCATCAGACCTTTAGGTGCATTACGGCATCGCGGCGGATGTGTACGCAAAAGAACAAAAGAAATGAGATGAAAGGGAGTGAAGACGGGAGAGGCATGAAAGAAAAGGAAAGGACGGCTTGCAGATGATAGTAGGGAAACCAGATGGAAGGAACAAACAAGACAAGAAGCAAGCCTTGTTAGAGAAAACCTGAGTGACCTAGCCTTGTTAAATTTGTGGAGCATACGGTGAATATTAAACAATATTGCTGAGTGCGGGGCAGAGATGACTTGATCTCGAGCTCCAACACTGTGACTGCTACGGTCTCCTGCGCTGTGCCTTGCGGCTCTCCTTCTGGCTCAGAGGCCTGCTCCAGTCAATCCAAGTCGTCAAGTCTTAACGCAACGTTTGCCATTGATGGCTCCTGCTGTCCGCCTGCTGTCCGCTACGAACTCCTACCGTTGCTTGCGTGCAAGGACTTCACCCCCAGCTTGGGTGGGCCACCAAGGGCATTACTTCGGGCGAGCTCTGGGTTCTCAAAAATTGACTCGAAATATTTTTGCTTTCGGTCTGACTGCCATATGCCTAAATGCCTGAGTGAAAAAGTTCCTGAGTAAAATGAGTGCAAAGGTGTCCGGCCATGGAAGGCAGTTTCAAGTCTGTGAAGTTCAAGGCTCCGGTTCAAAAACGTCGGAAGATCGAGCGGCGAATGCATGTTTGCAGACCTGAATCATCCTGCAACAGCCTGAGAACCCCTATGAGTGGAAGGTGCTTGCAATTGCATTTCCAAAAATTGAAGTTAAGAGGTCCCCTATGCTTGAAAGGGCAACGCGCGCACGCACACAAACACACACACACACACACGAATGTGTAAATATGTTTCGTTCTGCAACCTTGGATGTTGCGGACACGCACTTTTGTGAGGTTTCTCTTCAGGCCCAAATGTGGATCCAAAATGTGGCTGGAACTTGAAACGCCCGGCCGACGCCTTCCATGTCATTGCTGCAGTTTTGCCAGGTCTTAGCGCCCTTGGCCTCTAACGCCAGTGAGCTGGTGGCCGCGTGCCCGGGTGTGGGGTGGGCAGGTGGCATCGGCAAGGGACCGGCCCGTTCAATCGATCGATATGGTCAGGTGGTGGTGGTGGTGGAGGGTGGGTGGGTGGGTGGGTGGGTGGCGGCCATGATCCCCCTGAATAATCCCTCCCGACTTCATTTGTTTGGATCAAAAGAACGTCAAAGGCGGGATTGTTTGGATGGTGTTGACAGGCATTTTGCTGGAGGGTCGTGTTCGGTTTCCATGATCTTCCATGTTTTTTGAAGGGAGGCAGTGGGACAAGTAGATTTCTTGCATCCCACCACAACCATCAACCATCCGTGGGAACTGAACCAGACCATTTTTCTATTGCACAACAAGTTGCGGAACGTGCAGGTACAACTACGCCAAGAAGCGGACGTGCAAATCCATCACAACGTCCTTAAGTACCTTGGAGGCCGCTTCCGGGCGCCGGGCCCGGCTGGTGACCACTGAGGGGTTTCTGTTGGGAAATAGGTTTGTTTCGGCGTCCGATTCCCGGTTTCAACATCAGGGCGCTGCGATCATGAACAACACCTTCTGCCTGGCGATTTTCCTGGCATTGGTGCAGCATGGCTGAGAAGGTGATGCCGCGAACCTTTTGGGTCCCATTCAGGTTTGGGGTGGGACTCCCCTGTCGTCAACGGCTTTCAGGCTTTCATTTGCTCTTCCTCGCGACCGCAAACCCGACGAGTCACAGGGATTTCGCCACAGTGTGCATGTGGTCATGTTTTAAAAAATCTCAGGTTGACCTTGAACATGAACGGATTCCCCTCTTTCAGGACTGTCAACCGTCCATGCTTTTGGTGGGGAGGTTTTGACTCACGCCCATTTGAGGCTACGAAACCGTTCGCCGTTGGAAAGGGTGCTCACCCCGAAAGCGCCTCTCTGGGCTAAGCAACGGGCCTGTGAAGCCACAGCTGATTTCGGATCGCGAGGGAGTCAGAAGCAAATCATCCTGCCAGTTGATAAGCCAGCTTCTGATAAGCCAATATATACCCCTGAGAGTCCAGTCATGACTCATTTTACCCGCATGGTAGTGGTGGATTATGACTACTGGGTGGAGTAAAATGAGTCATTGGAAGTTCTGGGATGTAGATCGTTGCCAAAAATAGACCCAAATCTCGGAAATGATTCGCCGTCCCTGCTCGATGAGGCCAGAAGAATTATGTGCATAGGTTTCGATGGAAACCTTTTTTCATGACGGGAGCAAATGCCGCACGATGCTTCTGCAGACCTCACCCTTCGAGGTCTGTTCTGCCAGGTCACTGAACCTCCCAGGCAGAGGCGAACTCCTGCATCGGATCCTTTCGATCGGATCCGCCCTGGCCGATTCGCTCTGCTGCGGCACTCATGCACATGCAGCGCACACTCAGCGCACTCATGCGCCGTGCGCATGATGAGGTACTTCCAGAATCTGGCGCGGCTCCGAGTTGGCCGGTGGTCGACGCGGCCGATGGGGCGGGTGGCAGTGGCCTCGCCAAAGGCGCTCCACGGTCTCGGGTCCGGCAGGTACCCATGAGAGATATGAGATACCCTGAAAATCAACCTTTTGGGTGTTCTGGATCGTTGTGGTCAAGGGTCTCCTGGAAGTTCTGATACTCCAACCCCAGTGGGGACTGAGATACCCCCAGCTCTTCGCCGTTTTCCGCCCAGGCCTGGGAGTTCTCGGCCGAGACGACCGCCATTCTCCTGATCCAGGCGCGTTCCGGGCGCCTTCCGGTGGGGTGGCGCTTCTTGCGTGGTTTGGCCCGGATGGCGGAACGCAGAGCAGGGTGACCGGTCATGAAGACCTTCCTGGAACCTGGTCATGACCTCTATTTTGGACCACCAACCACCCAAAATATGGTCTTTTCCTATCAAAACAGAGGTCATATGGGTTCTAGGTTCATGTGGGGGGACTTCACCAGCGTTCACCCAGAGCGGTTCCACCCACCCCGGTGCTGATCGCAAGCGCAGGTGCTGATCGCGCTGAGCGCGGTCTTTCGACGCGTGCACAGACTCCTGGATGGGTGCGCCCCCCTGTGCGAAGGGTTCGCTCCCGCGGCGCGCTGGGGGGTGGTCAGCGAAATGAACGGGTGGTTTAAAGACACCACTGGGCACCTGACTGGGCATTTTTCCTTCCAATCACACCCGCATCACTGGGTGGTGAAAGCAGTGAAAGCTTGTATGCTTTGTGTCGATCGGCGTTTCGTTGCCAATCCATGTTGCAGGTTCCTCATCCTGAGCCTCTACCCTCTCTGCTTGGCCACGGTCTATGCTGGGGCTCCTAGACGAGGTATGGAGTGGCCTCCATGGGTTTGTCTAGGTCCTGAAATCGCCGATCCAGGCGTGGGCGGCTGATGAGCTGGGCTGTAGACATCGATCCACTTCCGTCTGCGACGAGGGGGTTCCCTCCTGTTGGGTCGGGTTTCAGCGGGTTCCAAGCGTCTGCGACGAGCGTCGTCTGCGACGAGGTCCTGGAGAATTACGTGGGCTGGGACTGAGCGCCCGCGGCGGTTTGCAAAGCTCGGAACCCCGCCGCGGTGAGCGGCGGTGAGCGGTGCTTTGGCGCCATGCGGAAAGAGACGAAGATTCGGTCGATGTTGATGGAAGTACACGGTGTGAAGAGACAAGAAACATCAAGAAACCATGTTGTTGGGAAGTGGCAGCCTCCACTAGCCTCCATAGCGCCTGTGTGTGTGTTTTTTCGCTGTCATGTTTGGAAAGTGATCGTTATTGAGTCGCCTACATGGGGCGAATGTAAAGACAAGGTGCCAGAAAATCTGGCACCTGTACGATATGGACGTGTCCACGCTGGGATGATGACCCTGTTGGGTTGGGAGTGCGAGCGATCCACTCGACCCGCCGTGGCATGGAGGGTGGACCACTCCTGACTGGTCTCACCCCTCCATCCGCTGCTCACGACCGACAGGCAGAGCCCCGGGAGGCAAGGTGCAGCTTCATTTGCCCAAGCGACCCAAAAGGTGAGCGTCTCGGCTGGTGGGCTGGCGGGAACGAAGATGCGAAGGGTCCGGGATGCCATTGCGAAGGGCTTCCCCTGATGGGTCGTGGAAAAGCTTGAAGTCCAGGCTAGAAGCTTTGGGTCTTTCAGCTTTGAGAGATTTGAGCTTGGTTGCCTTGGTTGGAAAGCGAGTCTTTTGGATTGATGTGATAATAGCTGATGGCTGGAGCTTCTGCAGCTCCTTTTCCAACTCAGAAGAGAGAGACCACTGAAGGCTCCAATGCCTGGAGTTGAGAGACCATTGAGGATGGCGCATTCACTGGACATCGTTCCCCGAGCTGCCCATCGGAGCCAAACGCTCGGGAAGCTGCAAAGATGGGAAGCTAAAAAGTGCTTGGGGAGGAGTGGAGACATTGAGATTTTTTGGAAGGGAACATGCTTTCAGAGCTTTTAATGACCAATTCAATACAGTTGGTGCGTAGGACCTTAGGAGGATATATAGATCCTTTTCTTCCTCAGCTTCTGGATGTGCCTCCCATGGACGACCGGTGCCGATGCTGATGCCGCGGTGGCAACTCTGAATGCAGGCCAGTGGCAGATGTTCCCAATAGACACTATAGGTTAAAGAAGACACTGATTATGTTTTTGCTCCTTGTCAATATAGTTGTCCTCCAAATAGATAGAACCGCTGTCCAATCCATTTTTAGTGGGGATCTACTTTTCTATCTATGTTATGGTCTGCATAAGGGCCAAGAGCCTTCTATCTTTCTATTGGATCAGGTCTCATGCCTCATAAGTGATCAGAGCTCAGGAATGACAGGGTTAGTCCAGGTGTATAGAGTTTAGCCCTGTCTCCTTCAGGTTCGGTTGAAGACCTAGTTCGACCTCGGCCAAAAACAGGTGACCGTTTTTAGCATTTTTAGTATGAACATCTCTTTCGGGCCCAAACATATCACACAACAACATCACTCTTCAGCCCTGAACCACTGCGAAAATCTGCGAAACACTCTCGCGTGGGGAAGCTGCGTACAGTATCTCGTGACGACCCGTGGCTCAAAAACTCAACAAGAATTTTTTTTAAAGCCAGTGCTGGAGCGGGTGCTACTCCACCCCTGCTTTTGGTCATTCTCGATGTCCTTTGGAACGACTGGTGAGCAGTGTGCTGTGCTGCCAATGGTTTATTGGGTTCCTCACGGTTCACTTTCAGGTTATGTGACTGCACAGATCCTTCCACTTCCAGTTCACACCTCCGCGACTTGGATGCCTGCAGTGCCCGCGTCCGCCTCGGCGACGATCACGGCACGGGTGGACGCCGACGTCCACAGAAGTCCTCCCCGCACGACGTCCGCACACGAGGACGAGGACGAAGGACGAGGAGACGCGGCGGGACGACCGCCCCGGCCCAGCGCGACTGTGGCCCGGCGCCGTCGTCGGAGGCGTGCGTTAGAACGAGCCAAGCGGGTCGTGGAGGAGAGAAGCGGCTCGTCGGGTGACCCAAGCATTGATGAACTCCGAGAGGGACTTCGTGGAGACCAAGCCCAGGGCATGCAGCGTTTGCGTGGACAGGTTTGGCACCTGTCGCGAGATGCAGCTGGCTGTCGGATCGTGCAAGAAGCCCTGGAAGTGGGTGGCCGGGAAGCTGTAGACTTGGCGCGTGAATTGGAGGGCCATGTCCTGGAAGCAGTGATGTGTCCACATGCAAACTATGTGGTGCAAAAGGTTGTGTCACATTTATCTGTGGCGGCGAGCAGCTTTGTTGTCAGAGAGCTCCAAGGAAACGCAGAGCGTGTCGCCAAGAATGGATTTGCTTGTCGCATTTTCTGCCGACTTTTAGAATTCTCTGGCACTGACGCCACTTCGCGACTGGTTGATGAGCTATTAGAGGGGGAGAACCTTTGCACACACGGCTTTGCGCACCATGTGATTCAATCCATTCTGGAGTATGGTGAGGAACACCACAAGAATCTCATTGCCAAGATGTTGATGTCGGAGCTTTGGACGCATGCGACCCACAAAAGCTCCAGCTACCTCATCGAGACAGCGCTTTGCTACTGCAGCGAAGAGGATCAAGATGTGCTGGTGGCTGAATTGGGGCACCCTGAGGCGCTGTTGCGCTTGGCCATGAACCCCTTCGGGAGCTTCGTGGCACGATCCCTACTTCAAAACCCCAAGGTAGATGCCCAGGTCGCCTTAGGTTATCTGCAAGATCATCGAGCTTCTGTGGAAGCCACAGCACACGGACTCCGGTTTCTGGTGGATGTGGGCCTGGAGCAGGGTTAGGCTTGCTAGAGAATCGGGTGATAGGTGGATTGATGGTGTAAAAGAACGGTCCTCCAACTCGTGAGTTTCATTCTCCATCAGGTATTGAACATGTATCATGGATGACCCCAACCCTGGTCCGGAGTGGTGAGAGCATTCTGGCCTCACTGGACCCCTTTTAGTCTTTGAGCGCCTCTCTTTTGGGGAGGCTCTTCGCGTTGGTGCGATGCTCGTGGCGGCACATGCACAGATGGAGCCCCACAGATCAGTCCTTCCAATTTTTTAATCCCGAGGGATCCAGTCGTACCTTCTCAGCAGGTGATGACACACCGCTACTTTTTGGTGTGGAGGGTCCAATGGTTTTTGCACTTCGCGATCGAGACATCGGGTCGGTCGCTTCCCGATGGAAGCCCTGAAAGCACCCGGTCTTGAGAGGCGGGCACTGTGCTGAGCAATGTTTGTAAAGTGTTCTAAATCAATCGGCCAGTGAATCATACTTCATGTACAGTGCATGGACGAGCGACATGGGAAGAGCAGGAAGAGCAGGAAGAGTTGCCCAGTTGCCCGGTTGACTCAGGACACTTTCATGGAGTCCCACAAAAGAGGAACCAATCGATACCAGCACCCTCCAACAGGCTGTTGGTTGAGGGTTGTTGGACCCTAACAGGTCTCAATTGGTGACCTGTCGGAGGATCCTGGTACAGGTGTGTTTTCATAGGGAGACACCCATTTGGCCAATGGGGTTGTTGATCTTTCTTCCTTCTTCCACGGCCCAGGCCGTGGCCGAGGTCTCTGTTGGACCCTGTGTTTTCCCCTGCAGGATTTTTTCTCTTCAGAACTCGCCTTTTTCGGGTCCGACCCCTTTGGGGTCCGCCTTTTTCGGGCACCGTCGCCTGGGACCGTCCGTAGGTGAAGTGGTTCGAGGAGCGTCCTCATCGTCGGCGCTGGGTTTTGGGGTGCGCCGTCTCGCAAGATCGAAACGAACGTTCGCCACATTGGGGGGCTCCTGTTGGAGGCCAAAACAGAACTTCACACCTTGCAGCCCCGGAAAACACAGCCATTTTTTAAAGAAACGGGGTCACCCCACGGTGTTGGGGGAAGCCCACAGCCCTTTCCTGACCCTAATTTAGCAATGGTTGATGTGCCTCACAATGCCTCCGGACCTCTCAGAGCCATTTCCACTTCCCAGAAAAATCATTAGAAAGCCCTTCGTTCTCTGCCAGGTGCTCCTCCTCACCTGGCTCTTCTTTTCCTCGCGTGGAGACGCGCCGGGCAGGCGGCTGGGACGGGCCGGTTGTTTGGGGCGTAGTACTGTAGGCTCATTGTGGTGGTCGCCAGGATGCCCTCGTGATTCAGCGAGCAAACCTTTTGATAAGTCTTCAGCGGATGAACATTCGTGATTTTGGTGAATGAAGAGAGAAGAACCTACTATGCTTTCCAAGCTTTCATCTACAAAGCCTCCATAGCTGTGAATTGCCATCTCCAACCGCCGTGTTTGAAGGGATCTTAAAAACCTTCCCGACTTTTCCCGATTCTTGTGAATTGCAAAGAACATTGAAGTATTGACCAATGACTTCACCAATTTCTTTTGCAATAATATATGTTATTATTGTTATATACTTATATACTATAATATATACGGTTTCGACATGTTTTGACTGGATACATTGTTTTCCTTTTTATCAAATCGGGATTGGAGCTTGAGTCTTCACATGTCAATCTGTAGATCCCCAGCAGGACCATTCTGGAATGTTCATGCTCGTAGCTTCTCCGGCCAAGGACCCTTGGAAAGCGGGCAAAAAGAGGGAACTCGCCGAGCCGCCCGGAGGGAGCTTGTGACCGCCCTGAACAACGAAAGCCTGAACCATCCGCCCAGTACGACGAATGCAGCCTTCTCCAGGGCATTCGTTCGGAGTCGTTTGGCTGGAGCGTCGACGGTCCAGACGGTGACAGGAGTTCCCACTGATCGGTTTCCGATACCCACCCTCCAGGTCCTGATCTACACATGGCGATGCGTCCACGCGGAAGAACCCGGTGTCTCAAAGGCCCAGCGCGGAAACTAGGTCGAAACAGAGCTTCACCTGTGTGTAGCTCTTGTATAGATCGTCCAGCCAGTAGGTGCGTTCGTCTAATTTTTCACTCTTCGTCGGCTGTTGATTCACTGTTCTCCCCTTTTCTTTTCGACCAACCAGTCTGCCATGAGTGGTCTGGGGTTGGGGGAGCCCATGAAAGCCAGAAAGGACTGGTTTCCCTACTAGTTTTTGAGGCACCCAACCCCCAAAAAATGAAAATATCTGAAGCAACAAGAATTTCTCATGGGTTGATGAATTATGATAAACTTGGAGATGTTCCAATTCCCAAGTGCCCTGACACTCCATCTCTGCATCTCTGGCCGTTTCGGGGGCTCAAACGAGCGCCTCTGAGCGCGCGCGTCTTCCTCGCGCGCCTCGAGGGCTGGTCTGGGCCCAAGTTAGGAGGCAAGTTGGAAAGGCGATGGGAAAGGCAAGTGAGGAGTGAGTTTGTTTTTGCAGTTTGAAAGTTCGTTTTGGGATAAAAGCAATGGAGAGACCTTCATCATGACAGGTGAAGCCAATGAACGCATGAAGCCGATAAAGCCAGCCATATAAAGGGCTTCTTGTTTCTTCCCCGGCTTTCACCCCCTGGCCGGTGAAAAGCGTGATCGGTCCCGCCCGCTCTCCTGTTTTGGCCGGTCAGTGTCGGTGTCTGCCGGCCGCCTCTTCTGACCGCTCAGGCGGTCGATGTCCGGCAGAATGAAGCTTCCGGTGTGGCGGACGATGTGACGCGTCGGTTGGTTGGAGGGTCGGACGCATCTGTCTGACACGGTCCCCCCCCAACTTGGTCCGCCGGTACTTGCACCGCGTCTTGCGCGGTGCTTGGACTGTGAGGCGGTTCTAGACCGGAAGACCAGGGATTGGTTGGTCCAAGAACACCGACCATCCGCAAGTGGCTTTGGGTCGACACCCTTCGCTTGGCCAGGCATTGGTGACCAGGGTTTGGACCAGTGCTCTACTTTGCACTTTCTTTTCAGAACAGGGGACAACGTTCTTTTTTAATATATATATATATATGTATATGTTTTTTTTCATCTAATGTGGCTGCCGGCAAATGGGTTCTTCCAAACCATCCTTTTGAGAGCCTTTGTAGTCGACAGTAATAAGGAAGACCGTGCGAGGCTGCGAAGAGCAATTCAAGAGATGGAAGCAGAACCATCATAATCATAGCCTTTCCAATCCTGCTCAAAGAACTAGTGGAGAGATCGAAGCTCTTGCTGAGAGACGGGCGACTAATAATGGGAGATCTTTCTTTCATGAAGATCTTTTCATGATGGCTGGAGGCTGAAACACACCATTGTCCTCTGTCGGGAAGCTTTGCATGCGTCTTCTGGAGGTGCTCCTACTAGCGCTGGTGCAAGTGGCCCTTGCTGCCAAGTTCTATGCGGTGCAGAATGTGGCTCAGACGGTGGTCTTGTGGCTGTGGGATGTTTGGGTCGGGTGTTGATCAAAGCGGACTGCGCCGGATGAACAGGGGGGGAGGGTCTGTGAACTGTGAACGGTGCACATCAGACATCCCCCACTGGAGGGTTCGTTTTTTTCTGGATGAACGGTGCCCGTGGCAGGGCTTCACCAGTGTTTGGATCCCCGCCCGAACCCGGGGGGCTGCCGAGAAAAGCCGTGTTGCCAGAGTTGGGGTTCATTGCTGAGGAGGCTTCTGTTCTTGGGGGTCTGCCAGCAAAAGACCAGTTGGCATTCCTCACCACCACTTGAGCGCTGCGGATTCGCTGTGGTGGTCCACGTCGAATCCGCTGCCACGCGTCCTACACGTCACGCACCCGCTGCCACGCGTATCTCCCAGGCCAGTGCGAGCCCCGAAGGCGGTCGGGAAGGATCAGCGGTGTGGGCCTTCTTCGGATGGCTGCCATGGATGCCATGGCAGTTCGGAGGATCTCACTGGCTGGCGAGAAGAACAGGAGCCAACGAAGACATGACTTCTGAAGCCAAGAGATTTCTTACACATGAAGATATTTCGGGGCCCTTCTGCCTGGAACAGGTGGGACTCCAACAGGGGCCAATGATTTTCCAAGGCTCGCTTTCTGCCTTGTTGCCTCAACTGAACACCACGTTGACCTCGCGGAAGTCGTCCACCCTGTAATGTTCTCCAGATCTCTTCAAATCCTGTCTTCTCACTTCATCCTCTTAGGGGTTCCCATCCTGTGAAACCCATCCCAACACTTCCACCGTCCACTTCCACCCCATCCATCTCCCCGGAGGCTGCGAGGCGGTGCAGGCGGAGCTCACGTCCACCTTGATGAAAGCCCACTGCCACCCGGCCGAGCTTCGGAACCGCGACCCGTGGGGCGACCGGTGGGTGGGTTGGTTTGGTTGTTGGGCGATGTGGGGGAAGATGGAGGTCTTCATAGAGCAGAGAGTTGCTCCATCGCCCAAAATTGATGGGGCAGTTCCAGAGATTTCTTCTGGAAGTCCATGGGTGGAAAGGACGTGGCACCTTAAAAGCATGTCTTTAGACAGTGACAGTGCTTGAGACTTGCCTTGTTGCCTTGCCCGCGAACTTGTGTTTAGCTCATGTGGTTCTGTGGGAGTCTTTTCCATCCCAATCCTCAGCCATCCAAGGTGGATTGGCTGATCCAACACCAAGACCTGCAGTCTCCTGTGGCAGAGTGTCCCCACAAAAAGTTCCTCTTGACAGGTACGTGACTGGTGCTCTGAGATTTCAGATCCCACCGACCGTCAAAGAGCGTCCCAATGGGCCGACATGTCCAAATGGTCGTCAGCTTCAGCGGATCGTTTCCAACCCACGGCTCTGGTTCCAACCCACGCGAGTGTTTCGCATCCCTCGGTGTGCACACAAACGTGCGCAGTGGAACGTGCCCAGAGGTGGCAAGTTGGTGCAGAACTTCGTGAACCGGGGCCCCGATACCAAAGGCTGCTTAGCGGTGGACACGCCCAAAGTCCGACTGGCACTGGCGAACAAGATGTGTCTTGGCCCTGGGACACTGGGTGTCGGTGCTGTGGCACCTCCGCCAACCTCTGTTGTTCCGTTCTTTTTGGAGGGGGCCCATGAGATGCTGGCAAGAGGAGGGTTGGATGTTAGGGGAATCACTATCACCTTTTAGAAGGACCACATGGCCTACGAGGCTCACAAAGGGTAGGGTGCAGATTGGTGCTTTCTCTCAAGGGTGTTGGTCAAAAAGTAATTTCCGAGTGGGACTCGGGGGTTGCCAGGATTGATTCGTTTCAATGGCAAGCAGGGATACTCAGGAAACGACACCATATTGTGATCCAACCACAAGATACGCATAAAGAAGATATATACATATATATATATATGAGAAAAATATATAATATAGTAATATAAATATATATATATATGATATATGTTGCATAATATATACATATAGATATAAGACCCACATAGATCAATCAAGGCCATTCTGTCATGAGATTTTTCTATATTTTGATGAAAAGGAGCCTTCGATTCCAATGGAACCTCGCCCGATCCCGCCGAGGTTCAAGCAATGTGGTGCCTGGCACCTCTACGACTTCCACCAGCCGAGCAAGACCTGCTGGCGCTGGAGGAAGAAGGGAAAGTGCTTCGAGCGAAGTGCGCCGACTCGGAGACCGGAGCAGGACCAGGACATCCGCGACGCTTGTTGTAGCCGCACGAGAAGCTTCACGCGCAGTAAGTATGGTCTGCAAACGATCACTGTGCAAACCCTGATGTATCAGCGACCACTTACATGCCTCCCTGCCTTCAGAGAGTTTAGAGTTTACACGTGGCAACTGTGCGTCACTTACGGACAACTTACCGGGTTTATATTCGAAGCACAAACTCAAAGAAGGACGTGAAAACCAGCAGCTTGAGGAGTTTGGGTGGGTTTTCCAAGTAGGATCCCCCCTCAAAGGCGCGTCCCCGTGGAGGCATCAATCTGTCCTACCCAATCCGTGCTATGTTGGACCGCCCCTAATAAGCTTAATAAGCTTAGGGGTGCTCTAATGAGCTTAGGGGTGCTTCCTGACACATTCAGCACCGCGCTATAGAACCATGTTTCTTCGTTTTGGAGGCCCGTTTGAGGCAGCGCCACAATCTAGCCCAATGCCTGAATACAAAGGGGTGAGGGGGAGTCGAACCCCAGGCCAAATCGGGGCAACGCTTTTAATCCCCGGACAGAGTCTTGACGGTCAGCGACGAAACTAGATTTTTAACATTTGTTAGTTGGTTTGCAGATTTTTGGCAATGTGACGGCTAACTGGCATCTTCCATCGCTCACCGGAGTCCTCAGGAACACGGGCTCCCGCTGACACTCACGTTCATAGTCCTAGACCGGGGTCCACGGAATTCAACTTCCAGCTGTGGTAAAATTAGCAGAGGTCGTGCTGAAGCATCTGAAGGCGTGAGATGGTCCACCAATGCCAGTGCAGGTACGAAGTGCATTGGGCACAAAGAGGAGGCCTGGGCACAGGAGCGCAAAAACAACCTTTGCGAGGTGGGCTTGCCCACATCGCGCTCGTGGTGGAGGGCTGGAAGCGCGCGGCGCCGTGTGGAGCGTGGGCGGAGAGGTTTGTTTGGTTTGCTTGTTTGGTTGTTGGTTGTTGGTTGCTGGGTGTTGGTTGCTGTTGTGGTAGTGGGAATGGGTGAATGGATCGTTTACTGGCTCACGTGGATGGAAGGCTTCCGGTTGCTCAGCTTCCCATCCCCAGAGGTCTTCTGGAGGGAATGTTCCTGGGAATTTTTGGGCGAAATCCTGGTGTTCTGGGCTGGCTAAACAGCAAAAGGTACAGGACATCCACATACATTAAGTGATGTGGTTGATAAATTTTGTCATGTGTCGGGCCATCCGTGATGCACCATCATCGAACCTTTCCCCCCAATTCCCAACAAGAAGTCCTGGGCCACGGCCTTGGAGGGTTTCCTAACAATATCCAACAGTTATATAACTTTTATGGGAGCAGACCACGGGTTGTCCCATCAATTTCTGCCAGCTTTGTGGCAGAAAGAACCACTTCCACACATGAGTATCAAGAAGATCCAACATGTGTACTGTATATATTGTTGACTGGAGCTTGAGGATACTTGTACCTTCAAGCTTCAAGATCCCGCAGAAGGTGCCATAAAAGCTGTCGGGTTTGGGCTGGCAGTCTGAGCGATCGGAAACTCTTCCATTCCGGACCCATTCCGGACTCGCATGGATCAGGTGCTGACATGTTTTGCAAACAAGCACTCTTGCATGCAGTTTGAGGTGCCACTGCTTTAGATTCGTGATTGCCAGCCAGGATCGAACAAAAACGTGAGTTTCATCTATAATATACCTGCAAGAGAGGTCAAGAAGGGGTGTTTGGGGTGTTTGACCTTAGCCACTTCTGCTTGGTGGGACCTGGTAACGCAAGTCAGTGGTCGTAGCCGTCGTCACGGACCAGCTCGTCCCTAGGTGGACTGCATCCCTGCGCAGCCGACGCTCACCGAGAAGGTCATGAAGTCCTACTGTGCCTTCGATCGCACCGTTCCATCATCGCGGTGTCACCCCTTGGGTTGATGTGTTAGGGGCTTGTTGGGTGACATCGCTGGTGCGTCGTGTTGGGCAGCATGGGCTTGGCGGGTCTGTCGTCCTTTTGGGGTTGATTTGGGGGTCCGTCGTTGTGGTCGGCCTTTCTTCGAAGCAGGATCCTTCGTGTTCCTGGGTCGAGTGGACGGTGGTTCGCACGTCCCACCGAGTGTTGGTGCACCGCTGCCATGTGGACCGCTCCGTTCCAATATAGATGGGATTCGATGAAGGAGAAAGGATGGCTGGGGTCAGAATACAGTCTTTTCAGACTGGAGGATCTGGCTTTGTTTGACTGGGGGCTAAGGGTTTCCAGCAAGATGTCATATTTGACGATCGAAAAAGCAGGTAAACATACAGGATTTGATCAATATGATTTGACTGGAGGCAAACACAGCTGCAGTCTGTCAATATGTCAATAACATGAATTGAAAAAACCAACAGATATGATTTGGTCAAGTTATTGATTTCTTCAAGTGTGGACCCAGGCTTCGACTGGGAGACCAGCGACGCGGATGTGACGCCCTATGCCAAGGGCTGCAAGAGCGAGGATAGCTACTACGCGCCTGGGACGAGTGTACGATACAACACTCAACCTATTGAAGACAAAGGTTCTTGCCCCCCCGGGCAAGGGCTTTATTCCCTGCTTGCAGTACCAGGTCTGTTTTCATGTCTCAAGTAATTGACTGGTGTTGATGAGTCAGGCTTTGTGTTTTTACGTAGTCTGAGTTTTGCATGTGGTCAAAATGAGCCGCTTGAGATTGATATGATGCTTTATGCATGGAAGTTATTCAAGGCGACAAATACCTCCGCTTAGCAAGAACATCCTGCTCGCTCTGAACTGTTGTTCTGCAATTCCCGCACGGTCAGGGAATGGTTTCCTTGAGCGCACACACACTTCGGTGGGATTTGTTCATTTGATCATTTCTTTCCCTGAGCTTGTCAAGGACGTCAGAGTCCAGGCTTATATAACTGCACCGTACTGACCGAGAGGAGGGACAAATACTTACTGTAAGTGTAACGGGACAAAGACCTTGTCCGATGTGAGTATAGCGAACCGACTGATTCGGAGTTCACTTTCCCGGGCAGCCAGTTTTGGTGTGATGTCTCGTTCCCAAGCTCGCTCCCAAGCAAGTTGAAGACTTGGTGCTCATTGGGCTCAGCTTGATGCTTTTTTGGGATCCACCAACCGCCGGAAGTGCGGGTGGCATGGCGGGCCAATTTCCTGACGACCATCGGCGGGTTTCTTCTGTCCCCTCAACCCCGCTAGATACAGTAGAAAGTGGACGTCCTTCAAACACGTACTGTCAGTAGATACAGGACAGTTGGAAACCTCAAGACAGAGCCTTGAACACATGGGATTGTCCGAATGCATCGAACACTCGCTGGTCCATCCGTCGGTCCACTCGATCGCTTGACCTTCCTATTACGTTCGTCGAGTCCACTCGTCGATGAGTGTTCGATGAGGTGCGTCGGGCCTTGGCAAACAAGATGCGCGGGGGCCCAGCCAACACGACGCGTCCGGTGTGGAGCGGCCGAGTGGCTGCGAGTGGCTGCGAGTGGGAGTGGCACGAAAAGCGGTGAGCGAGATGAGATGTGGCGCTGATCTACGCGCTGACCACCTCTGCTTTCTTCCCAGGTTCGTGCGATGAAGGTCTGTGTTCCTTCTTTGTGGCCTTCGTGTAAGGTTTCGAGAGCGCGCAAACCTATCCAAACTTGCAGGTGCTGTCTCCATGTGTTTCCATGGCTCGGGAGATCGGAGACACATACACTTAGACGATAAACCCGGCGTGAAACAGCACGGCGGCCTGCGCCTGGTGTGGTCGTAGCAGTTGTGCCTGCGGCCTGCGCACTCAAAGTTGAGAAGGCCCTTCCAACTTGTTTCGCCCCTTCCACGATGGATTTTCCACAGGCCAGGTACACTCCCGAAAATCATCATGCTCCTTCTGTTCGGATGACCATTTTCACTCCGAAGACCAAACAAATGGCGCCGATGGCACGAAAGTCCATGATTTACGTCGATTTCAGGCCACGCAGAGCTCTGAGAGTGGAGAGAAGGGGGTCTTGGAGTTGGCACTCTGCGGGCGTGTTGCCGTCTTTGGCGTTCGCGAGATTTCGCGCCGAACAGAGCTTTTCCTCAGACCGACCAAAAATCTGGCTTGTTGCCTGGATCAGCAGCAAGCTGCCATTGGTGGAACCATCAAAGCGTTAGGTTTGGCAATCCGCATGTGGCGTCAGAATCATTGGTTTCGTTTTGGTTGCTGAGCTTGCCCATGAGTTGGAGTCCGCGTGTGTTCAGGGCGCACAAAAGGTCATACATTGCAGATGCCCAGATTCTGTGCAGCTGATTGTTTATGTTCTTCACAAATGCGTTGGATGTTGATTTTGCAGAGCATTTGCTTCAATCAGGCTGCAGGCCTTAATTCTGCCGTCTGAACGATTCAGCCATTTGGACACCAGCATTTCAGACAGTGTTCAATCGCAAATGCACTGTTTTGTTTCGGTAGGGCCTGTATAAGGAAGTTTAGTTTGTTCAGGACAAGTTGTGTTCCCCAAACCCAAGCCATAAACATTTGGGGTGGATTTAGGGTCCAACTCCCAAAACATTCTTAGGATTACTACTGTTACTGTGCGGAAAGGATTGTGATACTGAAATATTTACTGCAATGGCAATACCAAGGTTTTTGTATTGAGTGCTCAGTGCTCTTCAAAGTAAACCCCACCTGGCACGACAGCGCCGCAGACATGCACCAGCAATCAAAACCGTGATAAATCTGCTGCACGGGGTGAACCAGAGCAGTTCCCGTCTCGGCCTCCGAAGGAGGACCGAGACGCTGTTCGGTACCAGGCACCACCTTTGATTCGCAAGGGGTGAAGTCCCCACATCGGGTGAAGTCCCCTTACGGAGGTCGTCTTGTCACGGGCCCGTCCCGATGTCCTAAGCCCGGGCTTTCCACGGAACCAGTCGGTTGGGCTCAACGCGAGTCCCGCCCATCGACGTCCCGGTGTATTCCGCGGTGTGCATCCGCGGTCCGCGGCGTGCCGCGAGCGGCGAAGTCAGGTTCAGCCACTGCGGCGCGCACTATTTGTACGACTTCGACTCGCCCTCCTCCCGCTGTTTCGAGTGGATCCAGGACCAAAAGTGCTGGACTCGAGGCGGGCTTACCTGGGAGGGAAATGGAACCTGGAGCTTCAGCCCTAACTGGAAGGTCAGTCCAGCGCCTACCTGGTAGTTGATCATTAAAACGCCACCCACCGTGAATCACCGTGAGAAATGCTGGTCGAGGATCTCGTTTTTGGGGTTTAGTGCATCCACAACTTCAGCACGGTTTTCAGTCCAGCGTGCCCCACTTAACCCGGGATTTTTGAGACGTAGCAAGAGCTTCAGGTAGCAAGAGCTTTTGGCCGTGAAGGATGACCGAAGTCTTTGGGAACAAAAGAGCGAAACAATGTTCAACTGATGTGTACACTGGCTATAATATTGGTCACTGGCTGTTCATTGTGCCCTTCAGGAGTCAGGAGATCTCCCGACTGAATCAAGGATGGCCCCTCACCGATCGCCAGCTGCGTCCTTCGCCCTGGGCCACCGGGATCACCGCCAGCGTCGCCAGGCACGGCCTGTGGTAGCCACGTGGAGCAGCGCAAGAGCGTGGCGCGCAAGGCATTGATGTGCGAGGCCCGGGCGAGAGACGTCGAGACCGGCAGCGAAAAGGGCGCGCGTGTGAGTGAAGGAGATTGGTGGGTGTACGATGGAGAGCGAGTCCATGGTGCTGATGGGTTCACTGCTGGACGGGTTGAACGGGGCGCCTATGCCGGAGGGTCCGAAGGTCCGGTCCGCCGATCGACGCCAAGTCATAGACACTCATAGAGGGTCCGAACGAAAGTGAGGGACATTCCTCCACAGGTGATTCAGTGCCTCATGATAGACATGTGGGGGATGAGTGTAGAATCATGTGGGGGATGAGTTGGAAAGCCACGGGTTTGATATCTTTTTTGAAGGGGTTTGACAGTTGAGGTGCACACACGCCTCCTTCCGCGGTTGGCTTGATGGGTTGCAGCCCAAGATCACGCACAGCTTGCCCAACTCGCGCCCAGATCCCCAAGATCTCTATCGACGGGAAGACTTGCAAGGGAACTCCCTACACGATGCTTGGCTGCATGCGGTGTTTGCGGTTCAGGCGCCCCTTACTTTTTTGCAAGCCAAAAGGGTGCAGGAGATTTTGCAACATCTCCAAACAGAAACATCGCGCTTGACCTGACCTGGACCCTTCATTTGGTGTTCTTTAGGGTGGGTGACGCCCTGTTCATGCGAAATCGCAAGCAGACTCCCCTCGCTCGTTCCAACCATGCAGAAGGTGCGGGGAGCGGTCCCACCATTTGTTTGCCGTGCCAAGGTTCGATAAGAAGAAGCGGTGTGATGGCTGGAAGGGCTTAACGGAGGCTCAGCCGATGCCTTAGAGACGAGTGATGCGGATTCGGCGGATGGGTTGGTTGGACTTTTTCGCGCTGAGCGATTAGCCGCTCCAGCCACTAAGCTTGTTGCGTAAGAGCATACTGGCATGTTACTAGGACCTAGGATTTGCTAGGATTATAGGAGATCGATCCCACTCGGGCTTCGATGGATTCAAAAAGGACCACAAGGCCTAGGTCATAGTGGTAAAGCATGGAAAGCAAGTGGAGATGTCGTCGTTTGGTCCTGCTCAACGTCGTGTGGTCATGCTCTTGGGACTCTTGGATTCCAGACAGTGACAGTCTTCCATCTCTTTGTGGCCCAAAACCGCCCGGAAGACAGACGTCTGTCAGCCTGGCCGCCCGAGGGCGGTGTCGACGGTCCCGGCCCCCCAGGTGCTTGGCCAAGTGTCGGAGCAACGCGAAGGCGTCGAGGTGTCCCCAGAAGGTCTGCTGCTGGGCGGCACTGCTGGGCGGCACTGCTGGGCGGCACTGGGCCTTGGGAGATTTCTGAACGGACGACTTTCCGAAAAAGGGATGAACAAAGGTCAAGAGCAACCTCAAGCGTGCGGGGCCGTGCAAGGGGGCAATCTAAGCAACCAATCGAATCGAAGCTTTTAGTCCTCAGAGCGGCCGCAACGCGCGGAACATGTTGAGGACCATCACATCATACGCCAGCAAAGACCTCCCTAAGTGATCTCCCTCGCACTGGGAATCCATGGCCAATCAACCGTCTTCGTCGTTGCACGTCCACGGCCCGTCGCCTTATTTGAGTGCGAAACAACCGGTCGCGGCGCAGGGTGCGTCGCAATCTGATGGATGACAGTCCTTTGGGCAGGATTTCTGGTCGATCTGCAGAGAGAAGAGGTTTTCTGAGGCTCTTCTGAAGACTTGGGCGCCGAAAGAAATAACATCCTCACACCATGAAGTTCATAATGAGTGGAGTGACCTCCCGAAAAGTCCAATTCCGGAAATCCTTCCACCTTCCTATCCGCAAGTGTCCCCCTATACTGCCTATACTGGTGTCTAAGTGGCTCCAATGCACTCTGGGGCGCGAGAGGAGGAAAGATTAAGCAAATTATGAAGCAAATTGCATTTCAATTCAGTTTAATGAAATGTTTGTATTTCTCGAAAAAAGAATCAGACAACCCGGACGTTGGCATTTTGAGTTGGTGTTGTGAGGAGGTCCTGTAAAGTCGCCATGAAAAGTGCCTGGAGTGCTGCATATTTTTGAGTTCCATCGTTCCGTACTGCGCTTTCAACGCCAAAATGTTTTCTGCTTCTGGGGGTCTATAACCTCAGGGAAGGTGGGAGGTGCTGGCAGATGCTGTGGTACCTGCGCTGTCTTTCCCAACCCAGGTCGTGCAGCCGTCTTCTACCCGAGTAGTGGCTGGTGCCATTTGTACGACCAGTGCGTTTTGGGCAGCACCGATTGGGACCGACTGGGATTGGGGTGACCTTGGACCTTGGGGACCTTGTTCAGCTCCCGTGGACTGGATCTTAGGACTGGACAGATGCTCCACCATCGTTTTTTGGCCAGGGGAGGGGTCTCGCAGTGTCTCATTTTTCCGTTGGCTTTTTGATGCTTTTTGAGAGTGTCAATGTCAATTGGAATCTGTCGAGTGGGCTGCCCGACACCCATGAACACCCCATCCCTGCTTTTTCAAAGGCTGTCGGGTGAACTGTCGTGTAGCAGTTCTTCCTCCGACATGTGACCCTTTAAAGAGGGGCACACGGTCGAGTTCCGGGGTGACGGTTCCTAAAGGGTCATTGTCAGCTCAGAAGGCCCTCCGTGTTTGGGTGAGGTGACGAGCTGAAGGAGTTTGCCAGTGCGCGGTTCCTGGGCGATGAGGCGGGATGCGGGAGGTGCGAAGAGAACACCGGGTAGGGGCCCCGTGGGTTCGGCTTTGAATTTGTGGCTGAACAGCGCGGCTGCCGCTTTCATGCGTCTAGTTGGTCATGGGTGGGTTTCCCGTTGCTTCGCATCGCCAAGTGCGGGGAGCCGTGAAATCACGGACTGTTCGTCAGACCGTCAGACCTGCAGAGATCAAGCTGGAGAGAATTCCAACGTTGAACAAAAGAGTGTCAGATCTCCACCTGGACCCTCCGACCTTCGGGGTGTCCTGGCTGGACTACCCCCACACTACCTATAGGCTTCCAGACAGGGCTCCTGGCACGTTACCACGTTGGATCTCCAGGTGCGTCCCCTTTCAATGGAGGATGTATTTGGGCTGAAATCAAACGGAACGGCTCCACGGAGGTGAGATCGAAGGTTCTTCGAAGTGAATCGAAGGTTTTCCTGCAACGTTTTCCAGGCTTTCTCCCCTTAGATTCACTTCGATATGAAGGGAAGAAAAGGTCCCCAAGGAGCTGAAAGGTTCTCCCCTTAGATCATGCGCTTGACCGCCTGGCCTTGGTCATGGGGACACCCCGTCGTTCACACCTGTGGCATCCTGTGGCCGCCCGAGTCCGGTCACCGAGCGGCGCTCCAGGTCCCGATGCGCTCGATTGAAGGGAAGAGGTGCAAGCTTACTCCTTATACGTCGCTTGGCGGAGGTGTCTGTTTGAAGGTTGAGCGACCCGGGGCCTGGTAGAAGCTGAAGGAAGCTTGGCTGAGTTGATTGGTGATGAGGATTGGTGGATGTGTGGAGAACAGATGACGCGACCCACGGTATCTATGCGCAGAACCCGAGGTGCAATGGTGTCTTTGGGGGGTTAGGAACTTTTAATTTGTAACACATCCAGATGCAGGAAGCTCTGAACGGGGATGTGAGGGACAGAAGTGAGTCTGTCGAGTCGAATGACGAACCTAGAAGCTTCTTGTTACTAGTAGTAATGCCAGGAGCTACGTTCGTAGCATCCTTGCTACTAGTAGCGATGCCCTTTGTTACTAGTAGCTTCTTGTTACTAGTAGCCCGTCGTTGACCGTTGAGGATCAACGTGGCCGAAGGCTGCAACGGATGGGGGGGCCTGACCAAAGAGGAGTTGGGGCAGCCCAGAGCGGCGGGTGGATGGCGATGTAGGCGTGAGGCAGCGATTTGTCCGGTGTGTTCAAGCGGTTCAAGTGTGTTCCTCTTAAAGACAGAGGATTCTGGGCAAACATCGAACGCAACAGACTTTCTTGCTCTCCTGGACTTCAGCCATGAGGAGCAAGGACGCTACGAACGGGGCTCCTGGCCTTACTACTAGGAGCAAGGTTCGCTTCCATTCGGGGCTCCTGGCCTTACTACTAGGAGCAAGGTTCGCTTCCATTCGGGGCTCCTGGCATCGCTACGAAGGGAGCGATCGGACGCTGTAAATGGTCCTGGACGCCTGGTTTCGGTGTGGCTTCCTCTGAAACCGAGAAACCAGTCTGCCGCGCCGAGAGACCGGCGACGGGCCGGCAGACCCACCAACCTCCGCCCGACGGAGTCGCGGAGCCGCCGAGAAGAAGGGGGATGGGTTGGGTGGGTTGGGTTGGGGTCCTTCAAAGGAAGACCTACTTCACATCCGAAGAGCAAACATGGTGGTGAATCGGTGAAGTCCACTTCGAATCGTGAGTCCGAGGGTACAACTTCTCAGAGTTTGGAGTGTTGAACCCTTTTCGGTGGGTCCGGCCGTCCATTGGGGCTTCAGAGCTTTTCTCTGAACCAAAGCCGAGTGTAAGTCACACAGTCGGAGTGTTAAGAAAGGACCAGGCCGCCTGTTGGAAGGAGACTAGTCATAGAGGTCGGTGAACCCAACCTCAAGGAGACTAGTCCACATGTGGAGCGTCGACCTCGAAGACTCCCATGGACTGCCTCGAAGACTCCCATGGACGGCCCAGACTTCGAACCCACCAGGTGCGCCCGGAAGTGCACGGGCAACGAGCAAGCGCCAAAGTGTGCTCAGAAGCTTTGCCACTGGGACTGCGGATGGATGGGCCAAGTGGGGGATTTCTGAGGTGTGGTGAAGGGCAATCTGTTTCCAATTCACGAAAGGTAGCTTGAGCTACCTGAGTTCTCCTTGCTTTAGCAAAAATGTATTACAATCAGGAGTTGGGATTGTGCATTGAATTTGGTCCTGCAAGAGTTGATTCTGTTCGGCGGGGGGGGGGGTGAAAGAGTGACTAGGGCGTACACGGTTGAGGTGCAGACCGCTAGTGTCTTTTATGCGCAGAGTCTTATCCTCTTGAGCCTTATGGCAGTCAAGCATGGACACACTAGATAGGCCACTGGAGTGGAACCTGTACAAGTAGGCCTCTACATTTCAGCAGGCACAAAATTCATGTCCACTCCAGCCTATTGCGTATGTCGCACACTATCTTTCCACCGTAAGGCTAAAACAGTCCAGCAAGCTCTAGCAAGCTTAAAAGGAAACTACGGTGCCTTGTACTTACCAATTCCAGTGTGTTGCACACGATAGAAAAGGTAATCTCAAGGTATACTAGATACAGTGAGGGAGCGATAGCTTACTCACCTCAAATACAAAGTCAAAGACAGTGTATCTCGGCTGGAGACTGCATCGTTCACCGGCGAAGATACCATGTACCGGCGCTCACTAGCCCTTAAATAGCCAGAGCTGTTCTAAATTAAATAGGAAGCGGCTTCTTTTCCACAGAGACCTAGAAAAGCAGTAAACGACACTCGCGTAACGAAAGAACTAAAAATTCAAGACCGCGCAAGTGCAATGAATTAAGATGCCTTGCAAAATGCAAGGAGCGTACATAAATCGTTCCGAGGAATGGTCTTCTCGAAAATTGGTCTCGGCCGCTTCCATACACAGGACTTATATCAAAATTTTTTAACTGCATCAAAAGGACTCTCTCACATTGACATCAAAAATTAGCCAAAAACAAAAAGGAAGGAGATACCGGCAAATGTATGTACAAAAATCTTGCACTACAATTGCAAATTCAGAAAATGACTTAATCATCAACCATAAATGGTTGTCCATTAGAGGTCACTTCCGAAAGAGCGGCTGTGGTAGAGATCATCAGTTTTGTAAAACTGTCCATACCTACCTGCAGATAATATCCGTTTAGTAAACTATATTTATCTGCATGCTAAAGCTTAAAACTTCAGCCTGGCAATTTAAAGTCAAGCCTGGAAGCAAAGTATCAACTGTAATCAGAAGTATCTTCACTTCCTAGCTATCATTTAAGATTCAACCTCCGCTCTGAGTTTATGCCGCTGCAGTCGATGAAGCTGCTTGATCAGAAGTTGGCGGCCTTCCGTTTCTTTTATTCTGCTTCTGTCTCTCCTTCCTCCGCAAGTTAGCATCTCGAAGAGTCTCGCCCAAGCGATAAAGCTTCCTGTCACCAGATGAAAGGGAAGCTGGTCTGAGTGAAATAAACATTGGACCATGACTGTCCTCGTCAGTGGGTCTTGAGCACATAACCTCCGTATCAATCATAGCAAAGTTTTCTGAAAAATTACAGATGAACTCCTTCGTGCTCACTGTGGAATCTGTATATTCCTCATCACTCATTGAATGACCCCATTCAACAATGGTAGACAAACACGTATCGCCAAGCCTTGCTCCCTGGTATGTTTCTTTTTCTTCTGTAGAATATTCCTCCCACAGTTTCTCAAAGTAAACTTCACACTGCTTGAGGACATGTGAAGATGAACTGTAAAATGTTCTGGGAATAGGTGTTTTGATACCAGGATCTGCTGCTACACGGGCTTCTGAAAACTTGCGGATCCAATGCTGCATGGTGCTATAATAATAGTTAGCCATTGGCTGCCTTTTGTACCCAGACATTCTGTAGGCCAAACTATTTGCATCACCAGAAATGATGTCCACCTCATATGCAAAACACTCATAAACCATCAATGCTGTCTGTTCTCCTGTCAATAGGTGGGCATCCACAGCACGGTGTGTGTCAACATGATAATTACAGACTCTGATGGTATGCATGTTCGCTCGAGTAAGTGGAACATGCTGGTCCTTAGGACCATAGTCCTCAAATTCAAAGTCTGCATCCTTGAAATCTTGACGAGGCCTTGTTTCTCCAAAACAAATCTCATAGATAGCCCAAGTTACATCACGCTGTTGACAATGACCAAGGTCTTGGTCATGTCCAGCAATGATCTTGATATAGCCATCTGGTGCCAATCTAGCCATCACTGCAAGATTCTCCCAATCATTGAAACAAACTGTCCAATTCTTTTGCTCAAGAAAATCCTTGGCAGGAACAAGGAGATGAGCTTCCTGGAGAATCACGACATGTGCACGTAAAAAGAAGAGCATATTGAAGAAAAGGTTGTTTTCAAATTGCTCATATTGAAGTGACATGTCGCTCTGTTTGCGTGGCTTCATTGCACTATCAAGTCCTTGGAGAAACCTTGGTGTGGTGTATTTCTGACCACGAACCATGTTGCCATAATTCCAGGATAAAATGTCAAGGACTCGGAGCTGGCCAATAAGTTAGTTCCATATTGTTCTTCTATTCTTCCCTTGAGGAACCTTCTGCGCAGCTCTTCATAGAAGGTGACATAGTCCCAACTGGGTCCCTTAGGACCATAGGATTCCAGTTCTTCTCTAAATTGGTTCTTTGTAGCCTCCAAATCTGCTCGAGCTTGTTCTGCCCTTTCAAGGGCCTTGGAATCGATCTGATACTTATCACCCAAATAAATGATGCGATCATCATTGATGAGAAATCTCTTCAGATCATGCTCTGAGCTGTCCTCATAAAAATCAGGTGGAGGTACTGGACAGATCCTTCGAATGGATCGAACAAAGTCGTCCTCGTTGATCCTTGACTGATGTTGAGGATGGGAAATCACACCTTTCCTGAAACAAACATGGTTCAACAATCTCGCGTGAGTTTCCCTGAAGCATTGTTGATAAAAGCCAATACCTGGATCTCCTGTAAGCTCTCCAAGCAACCTCAAGGGTGAAGTATGCAACTCATAGGTATTGTCAACATCCACTGTATCTGTATCAACAACTACTTCAGATGGAAAAGATTCTTGGATTTCAGCCTCCAATTTCTTCTCTCCATCATCCTCTCTGACCTCTCTTATCTTCTCCACCGCCTTTTTCTTCTCCTCAAAGGTTGCATCACCCTGAACTTCTTCATGAAAAAGAGGATCAGGAATTTTATTCAGGCGGCTTTTCTTAGATTTCCGCTGACTTGAAGTACCACCAAGGCTAGCATCCTTCTCACCTGATGGTAAGTACGATGCAGCTGAGTCCTGACCTATCTCTCTTGACAGAAAGTATGATGCTGACTCATCCTTGGCTTCCTCCTGGTCCACTTCCATCCTTGGGTCCTCTGAAGGAAAGATACCTGCATTCTCATCAAAAGCTTCTTCCTCCTTTACGAGTTCAACTGCAGGATCTTCTTCATGGACTTCCTCTTCCATATCTTCACCTTTCATAACCTCCATACTGCCAGTGAAGATCTCACCAGTAATAGTGGAGACTCTTGTATAAGGAGGAACTTCTTCTTCACCTGCCTCAAAAGCTTGTTCTGCGACATCCTTGGTGAGCAAGTCCTCTACAAGATTTTCTCCCATGGTCCTTGGAAGAGGTTCTGAGGTCTCATAATAATCTGTCCTATCTGAACTGAAAGCCTCCGTTGCCTGCTCATTGTCCTTTTTATCCTTAAAAAGATGAGTAATCTTCA